AATAATTAAACACTGCAATAAAAGTGAATTGAAAAAGATGAAAATAGTATTTACCTGTAAAATGCACTCCAATAATATTGTTTTTTATTTACAGTTTCGATTTTTTTTGCAGTGTATTAAAAGAACAGTATGAAGGAATTTTGACATTTTCTAATGTTTATTAGAAGTACATTTGTGTGGTTATAGCTCAGTATATTAAGTAATAGATTCAAATGTGATGATGGCAACATTTTTTGTCAACAGTTTAATCTTAATCTGTAATTATTTGAGAACATCTGTTAGAATGTATCAGAATATTCATTATAATATATATTGTACATGTTCACATGTTCATTTTCATAATCATCATAGTAGATCAGTACACTGAAAAAAAATGATGCATAACAACATTTACTCAGAAATAATTAAACACTGCAATAAAAGTGAATTTAAAAAGATGAAAATAGTATTTACCTGTAAAATGCACTCCAATAATATTGTTTTTTATTTACAGTTTCGATTTTTTTTGCAGTGTATTAAAAGAACAGTATGAAGGAATTTTGACATTTTCTAATGTTTATTAGAAGTACATTTGTGTGGTTATAGCTCAGTATATTAAGTAATAGATTCAAATGTGATGATGGCAACATTTTTTGTCAACAGTTTAATCTTAATCTGTAATTATTTGAGAACATCTGTTAGAATGTATCAGAATATTGTTTATATTTTGTCTAATTATTTGCTTTATTCGAATTATTTATAGTTGGTTTGAATTTTGTCCAACCCTGATGTTTGTTACATGTCAAGCATTCATTAAAAAAAGCAGTCCAAACTATCAGTGAAATAAAAAAAATAAAAAACTCACATTCTGCCACATGGAAAGTGCAAGTCAGAGAAATTATATAATGGATTATACATCATAACATTTGCGCAAAAGAACAAGATATAAACAACTAATTAGAACGTGGATAAACAAACATGTTTATTGTTTAAATGTGATTACATGAAAGTGCTTAGTCACTCTTTAGTGAGCATTTTCAAAACGGTTTTGTCCAGCATCCATTTCTTTTTCTAGTCATCAGTTGACGTTACTCTCCAGTAGAGGCCGGCAGTGTAACACAGATCACGAGGAGCCAATGACAGGTTTAGATCCACACCATCTTTAATTGTTGAGACTTCAGTTCATGGAAACCTTCACTTGCAGGTGTTTAGATAGAAAGACCAAGCAAAAAGCCCCACAGAGTGACAGATTATGAAGTTCCACCAGAATAGCAAACACTTTTGTACAAACCTGTGACAGTCTTATTTGAATACAATTGCATGAAGCCTTGTTTAATCGTCTCATCCTAAAATATGATCAAAAACCTGAGCTAAAACCACACAATTATGTCTGCATAGTTGTGCAACAAGCGCTAGTCGTGCAAACATGAGTGATCAGAAATGATTGCATGAAAGCCAAAAACTGAATCACAAAAGCCTGTCATAGTGAACTGCAACATACAAAGGCTTACTTGTGTGGTTTTCTAAATGAATTGCAACTGGAAAGCAACAGTTCCACATGCTGTAGGATTACATGTGACAGATTGACTGGGAGTGGAAGAATTGCGCATTCTTTTTGGATGGCATAAGAGTTCCCTCCTTGTGGACTAAGAATCGGAAAAATCATTGCTATTCTGCCAAGAATACAAACACATAGTTAAAGTAAATATGCATTGGCATATTTCTATATGATCATTTGCCTAATAACTATTTTATACTCCCTTGGGTTCTTTTTTTAAAGATTGAGTAGTGTATGGTGGGAGGAGCTGGATACAAACCCCTCTGTTTGCACTGTATTAGGTGTGGATTACCACTGCATGCATAAACAAAGCATAACAAACATGAAGAAAAAAGAATAAACTAGCACAATACAAAATTATGAACATGTGTTTACTACATGAAAACATCTGGCTTCATTCTGTGATCTTATTCATGCAATAAAGCAATGGTATAATTAATCTAGGAAATCAAACAATGTTATCAATTCGGCAAAAGGAAATAACCTTCAGATGTAGCCAAAACCAGATACTCTCCATGCAGCATTCCCACGAGTGCAATGGTACTTCACTTATTGTAGTTTACCGTGCTTTAATAATACAATAAGCCCAGTGAAGCCGTGGTTTACAGTGGATTAAACCACGGCTTTACGGGGCTTATTGCTTTTATAAAACGGTTATTCCATAGATGTAGCAAGGTTTCACAAAATAAAACAAAGCAAATAAAATGTAATGATATTCATAAAATCATTATTCTTCCACCAAACAATGTAGTTCCTCAGAAACGGTTGTGGTTGCAAAAAAGTGGTTGCCGAGCAACACACAGACATAAACAAAGGTGTAATTTACAACAGCTTCGAACGCAGCTCAGCCAATCCGAATCAAGGACCGGAGCTATCCGTTTTATAAAGAACGGTATATCATGGTACTATAAAAGTAAATAAATATATAAATAAAAATACCATTTAATACTAGTTCAATTGTCAAACAATGTGGTATTAATATGATATTGTGTCGCATATGGCTTAGTATTGAGTAATTTAGAAATTAGACCGTCGTTTTGTCTGTTTTTGCTCCACAAATGAAAATAATTCTATTTGGAATTGATACACACAATAGAGGCGTTATTTCAAAACTCAGTGTTTTAAATGAATTGATTGAATGATTCAATGACTCACTGATAAATACAATCACTTGTCGCCACCTGCTGGTGTATTTTGTCTGTTTTTGCTCCACCAATGAAAATAGTCCTAGAAGTCAAAACAGGATCAACTGTTTTACATAGATCATGATCATAAATACAATCACTTGTTGCCACCTACTGGCATAATATCAGAATATTAGAACTCTTGGAAAACAGCTTGGCCAATCGCATTTTAGGATGAAATAAAGTACAGTGCACATATCACATATCACCCTGTAGCCCTGTAGACTGGTTGCCCACTGAAGCTAAGCAGGGCTGAGCCTGGTCGGTACCTGGATGGGAGACCTCCTGGGAAAACGTCTCGGGTTACTTATGTAACCATGGTTCCCTGAGTAGGGAACGAGACACTGCGTCCTCTAGGGGTCGCTATGGGGAACGCCTCGTCGTGACTCGTATCTGAAGCATACATTGAAAAAACACCAACTCGTTGGCCGGCGACAGCCATGACGTCACTACCGGTGCGACTACAGTATAAATCGGTGCCGGGAGCTACACATCATTCACTTCTTCGTCTGAAGCTTGCGTCCGCAGCATGGCAAGAAACCTAGAGGACGCAGTGTCTCGTTCCCTACTCAGGGAACCATGGTTACATAAGTAACCCGAGACGTTCCCTTTCATGGGAACTTCGAACTGCGTCCTCTAGGGGTCGCTAGGGGGAACGGTATACCCCCGCCGCCATGCTGAGGGGAGTGCAAGCCAGAACCATGGCGAGCACTAAATACCAACTCTACCATATTGCTATGGGAGTTGCCCCTGGAACGTTTAGACGGCTGTCAGTGACGTTATAATATTAATATTTTAAGTGATATCTAATATACATGACTACCATATCATGTAGTAATTTGGATGTTTTTGCTCCACTAGTGAAAATAGTCCCAAAAGCTGAAAGAGGATCAATGGTTAATCAACAAGTTGTCCGTCTCCAAACAAAATAATAGCGTGACTGAATGAATCAGCATTTTGAATGAATTGATTGAATGAATGATTCAGTGACTCACTCATACAGTCTCTGGCATAATGTTGTAACCTGCAGAAAGGATCACTCACAATCCCTATCACATATCAGAACTCTTGGAAGACTGCTTAGTTAATCAAATTTGAGGATGAATCTATGTGCTGAGTAAATATTCATATTTTATGTGATATCTGATACACACGACTGTCATATTATTAATTAGTATTTTGTCCGTTTTTGCTCCACCAATAAAAAATAGTCCCAAAAATCAAAACAGGATCAACCACTGCACTTCTATGGACAAAATAGTTGCGGCATTACATTGATCAATTGATTAAATGATTCAGTGACTCATTCATAAATACAGTCATTTGTCGCCACCTACTGGCTGAGAGTTGTAACCTGCAAGTATCAATGACAGTCAGTCCCCACCAATCAGAACTCTTGGAAAACAGCTCGGCCAATGGAATTCGAGGAGGGAACTGCTGCGTAATTAGTTATATTTCTATTTTTATTTATTTTATTTATTTAGTAATTTATCAGACGCTTTTATCCAAAGTGACTTACAAACGAGGACAACAGAAGCAATCAATTGTAGTATTAAAACAGCTAAAAACAGATCCAAAACTAAAAGCAAAAAATTTTAAAAATACAGAGATTAAATAAAAATGACAAATGCATACAACAGAATTTCTAAACTTAACATTTAAATGAAAAACTAAAAATAAAGCTAAAAACCATTCAAAATATTCAAGAACAAAAGGTAAAAGAGTATAATAATGATAATATAAACATAAAACTAAGCCAAACTACATATGTGTATGTACAACCACACACACACACACACGCACATATATATATATATATATATATATACACATTTATAAATTCAATATATATATTATTTCATTTCCATTTAGTTTGTTGAAATTAAAATAACTCAAATGAAATAAAACTAAAAACTTAATAAAATACCTATACAGACATAATCAATTCAGACATAATTGAACTAAAATTAAAATAAATAACAAACACAAATAATACAAATCAAATGACAGTATATAATGACTTATATGATATAAGAAGCATGACACATATCAGGTACCGTGTAGTATTTAGCTGGAACTCCAAGGTGTTTCAATTTATACCCTTGGTTGTACCATCTAAAAACAGTATTATCATGGTAGGTCCCTCTGTAACTTCTGAAAGTGAAATATTGGGTATTTATGAAGACATGCAAGCATGTGTCTGTGACAGTAATGAAGTGTGTCAGTCTCCTGAGCGCTACAGAGAGTTAAAGTCCTCCTCAGACATTCCTATGCAGTGACACCTCTGCAGCAGTTATTGTGCTGGCTCCGCTGCAGTGTCTGCTACTGCTGCCTGAGAATGACTGACTGACTGACTGACTGAGTTTCCCGCCTCCACCAATTTAAACGCAACTTTGTTGCTGCGGGACTCTGCAAACTTAACAGTCAATTTCTGAGACCAGGATGAAGTTTCTCTCAGTTTCGCGTGAGGCGGTTTTCTGGTGACTTGCTGCAACGGTGAGTTGCTTCTCCTGGTCCTTGGCACGTGTTTATGTTACGTTTGTAGTGTTAAATCTTGTGTTTATCTGAATTGACTACAGTTGAGCGTCAAAACGACGTGTTGGTTGATAAATTGCGTTGTCGGATTACAACAGTCGTAATGAATGAAAGAAATGGGCTACAGCGTCTTGCTACTCGCGTGTATTCATTCACCTCAGTTGTTTTTATTTCGTGTATATACTGTGGTATAATATTTACTTTGTAGATGGTACTATCATGAATACCATTGTATTGCTATAGTTTGTAACTTTTTTGCTAGTAAAATCTTCTCAGTGTTTAGGCAGGTGTTAAAGGTTTGACTGTGACAGAGCGGATGTTTCTATTAAAGGGGTCATATGATGCTGCTAAAAAGTACATTATGTTGTGTATTTGGTGTAATGAAATGTGTTTATGCGGTTTAAGGTTAAAAAAACACATTATTTTCCACATACTGTACATTATTGTTTCTCCTCTATGCCCCGCCTTTCTGAAACGCGTCGATTTTTACAAAGCTCATCGGTCTGAAAAGCGAGGTGTGCTCTGATTGGCCAGCTATCCAGTGCGTTGTGATTGGCCGAATACCTCAAGCGTGTGACGGCATGTGGTGATGTTTTTGAGTCGCGTGTGACATCACGATGATGATCAGTTTTTTAAATTGCATGTATGTGAGGAAATATTTCAGCGAAAGGCACGTTCTCCCAAAAGCACAGTGAGACATTTTTCTGTCCCCCCCCTTTTCTGCCTCTACAGGCTCCCCTAAGTCTAGTTTGGTGAAGTCAGCTTCTAATGGAAATCCTATGTTGCTCTAGTAAAGTGCTGTGACTGAGCTGACCAGCTCTGTAACCTGATCTTGCATGAGTGATCCTGGGGTTTGGGCTCTTTAGGCTCAAACTCATACAATCCATTTTCATTTACCAGCCTGGAAAATGTGAATAGATGGAAAACTCGTAGGCTTCACTTCACATGCCACATTGTTTTTATGATAACTTGGTGGAGAAAGACTTTGAGGCGAGTAGTATTCGGTTACTGTTCTGGGATCAGAAGGGAACTTTTGCTTGGCTGTAAACAAGCCTGTAATCATAGACCTTTGATCAGTTATGACAATACTCAGTATTCTCTTCTAAGAATTTGAACATGTTTTGCATAAAATGCTATGGGTGTGAGTAATCAGAACAGACTGTTTCATGTGTTGTGAAACTGAATCTGGGTTGACACACCTGAGCTTCGTGTTGCTAAACAAGAATGCCTGTCAGAAGACATTACACACGCACAAATGATCAAGATCATTAGACTGTACATTTATTATATCAAACACTTGTTGATTTAGTGTCAACAAGTGTCTTTCCAAGTGTTTAGACATGCCTGCAGTGATCTGTGGATTTCTTTGATTTTTATTTTTTATTTTTTATTTTTTATTTTTATTTTTACAAATTGTCAGCTTGAATCTGTATTTGTGTCTGTATTAGCTTGTCTGTTTTGCCGCTGCTTGTTTAGGGCTTATATAATTTTTATTAGTGTGTCATCTTTTCATTGAGGCCTCAAGGAAAGCAGTCAAAGACTTTTATTTTAGCATTATTTACATACTATTATAGTATTTATTCATATTTTGATTTAGCTTATATATTATTTTAATGTTTATATTTGAATTTAAAGTTTAGTCATTTTTAATATTTCTAGTTGGCTTTCATTTATTTAAATTATTTTTATTTGATTTATTTTATGTTATTCTTAGTAATTTTGGTGCATTAACTTGTACTTATTTCAGATGGCTGCAAGGCCACATTTCTAATTTTCATTTGACAGTTTTTAAGTTCAATTTGTACATCTAATAGACTATTTATTTTTTATTTTAGCTTCATTTCATTTTATGAAAACAGTTTGTAAAGTTTTGGTTCTAGATAAAGGCAAGAATAGCCTACACTACATGACTGCAGCCCAAATTATTGCCCCGATTTACAGTCTGGATGAGTCAATGCTAGTTGCCAAAATTCACAGTAGCCCCTCACTGCAGAACACAAGATCCAGGGGGCAGGGTTGGATCCACATCTAGGGGGTGGAGATGGGTGGGTTTAGGGATCAGAGGGTGGAGACGGGTAGGTATACGTAAGGTGGGAGGAAGTTGGATCTGGATCCAACCACGCCCCCTAGATCTTGTGTTCTGCAGTGAGGACCATCTCAAAATTCATGGCCAGTCTACAGATTTTTGGAGTTGACTGATTTCACATAAAATTATATCCTGTATGATGGGCACAGACTCAGATTTTTTTTAGCTTCAGATTATGAATTCGTTTAGTCATTGATATCAACTATGTTTGATATTTTGAGCCAATTTTAGAACACATACGTATGTTGTCATGTATCTCCTATTAATGAGGCACATGCTCTGTGTGAGTTTGTTTGTGTTCAGAATGACTTGGAAGTCTGGTAGTGTGTGATCCTCAGTCTATAGTGTACAATTATTCTCTGTAACCATTCATAAAGTTGCCAAATGTATGATGCCAAATGTTTTAAAATGTGAACAGATTTCAAAACATTAGGTGTCATACACTTGCCGACTTTGTAAACTTGCCTTTGTACACTTGCCGACTTTGTTCCAGCCTTAACTGCAGTAACATTGGTCAGTCAGAGATCAACAACAGTTGACCTAGTTCCATTTATGTTGGCTGTTAGCTTAGATTACCTTAATCTGAATTGACCCTGCATGTATGTTGTCGTTGATGGCATTGTTTACCCGTCCCGCACATAAACTTTGTTTTAAGATGAACTGTTCCAAGTCTGGATGAGGCTTTGCTCCAGTAGCTGCCTGTTGCACGGGAACAGAATCAAGCTAGCACAGATAATTAGTTTGTGCTGGCTTCAGAAAAGAAGGGGAGAAGGAGGGGGTGCGGAGGTGGATTTGGGAAGGTGGGAATTCCCGTAATTTCCAAGCGTTACAATGGCCTCATGCCTCAACAGACACTCATCCCCACCCTCATTTCTGGAGGCTCGATATGCTGCCTCTTTATTGCTACAGTTCATAGTTTAGATAAGTAAGAGGTGTCTTTGACAAGTTCAGGTATTTAGGGCACAAATGCATGTAACACCCACTGCAGGCAGGCTGACATAATCAGATACGTCGGTCGTTGGCACATAACCATGACATCAATAAGGAAAACAGGAAATTACCATGACAGATTGGATGCAATCCTCATAATGTAACATATACAAATAAAGGCTTGCAGTACTTCTAGGCTTTAACAATTTTTAGAAGAACTATAATTAGTTGTGTTTGCTAAGAGAAGCATCACTATCACCATTACGTATTAAACCCCTTTTTGACCAGTATGCAACCCGAACACCCATCAGCTGCTTAACAACCGGACAGAATGTAAAATAAAAAAAAAACAATATTTTTTTATAGTCAGGCTACCTCATGAATTCATGTGAATATATGACAGTTCGTCATAGAGACAAGGGTGTGTCTGGTTTATCTGTTATGTGATCTCATTCCACAGCAGGCAGGAATGCATATGTTATGTGCTTTAGTAATGTTGGAGAATGTATTCTGGGTGCAGATAAAGACAAAACATGTTAAGTGGCTTCTGATACAATAGCAGTACTCATCTTCTGTCCCAAACACAGGTATTGTTTAACTTATTCCAAATCAGACGATAGTTCTGAATGGAAAACAAAAGAAAGGGATAACATTATTCACACATATAATTTCTTTCGGGCTAAAGCTATGAAAATTAGAGCTGCACAATTCTGGATAAATTGAGAATCAGGATTCTGAACTAAACAAAATAATGTATGACAAAATATTAATTTGCTGCAGTCTATTTAAAAGTGTTAAATTAAAGGTTAGTTTACCCCAAAATGAAAATGATGTCATTAATTATTCACCCTCATGTCGTTCCAAACCCGTAAGACTTTCGTTCATCTTCGTAACACAAATAAGATATTTTTGATGAAATATGAGAGCTCTACCCTCCCATAGACAGCAACACAACTGTAATGTTCCCAGGCCCAGAAACATAGCAAGGACATCGGTAAAACAGTCCATGTGACATCAGTGGCTCAACTTCAATTTAGTGGAGCTACGAGAATACTTTTTTGTGCTCAGAAAAGAAAAAAACACACTTTATTCAACAGTTCTTCTCCCCGAGTTACCCTCTTCCGCCATTTTGGGGAGTACGCAATTTCAGTTGCTTGCTGTCTATGCAGGGTCAGAGAGCTTTCAGATTTCATAAAAAATATCTTAATTTGTGTTCCGAAGATTCGGGTTTGAAACGACATAAGGGTGAGTGATTTTTGGGTGAACTAACCATTTAATTTGAATGATTAAACATTTTAATATATATATAAATATTTACACGATGCAATCGATCGACACAAACGTTGTTTGAAGCGCCAGTTACTTTCAAAAGACGACTTGCTCTATTTTGATCCCATAGACATCAATGTTTATATCCGAACTATAAACTTTTATCCCAGTATTTCTGTGAAAATATGAATGACTGTAAGACAGAAATAATACTGTGTTGTTGAAAAGACTGTTTATGATGCTGTTTCTTACTTAAACATAACTGTCTGCTCTCTTTGTCAGCGGCAGCGGGAATGCTGTTTCGAATGTTCCAATATGATTTTTTTCAAAGGTTTAATAGACACAAGTGAATCGTTGCCAGAAATTGTCATCACGTGGGTGTTTGAATCGAGATTGCGATCTTTTAACAATTAATCGTGCAGCTCTAATGAAAAAGCTTTTGCTTTCAGATTTAAAAATGGTTTGATGACGACTGTTTATTGGCAAATGCCACTTGCATGTCTCATGAGTAAATAATGACCGAATTTTCTATTTAGGTGAACTGTTCCCTAATTTTAGGTGGATAAGTCTATGGACATGAATGACACCACAAATCATGAATCTTCTTGCGGAGAGTGTGCTATTACTTTCCTAAGTGATTTAGCGTACGAGTTCCCTGGCAGATGATAAAACAGGAACAGAAATCCTATAAACTTGTGTCGAAGGAGGTGCCAGAGCCAGAACATTCTAGCAACACCCTAGCAACCACCCAGAACATTTGATCTAATGACTGCTTTAAGGAACACTCCACTATTTTTGAAAATAGGCTCATTTTCCAACTCCCCTAGAGTTAAACAGTTGAGTTTTACCGTTTTCGAATCCATTCAGCCGATCTCCGGGTCTGGTGGTAGCACTTTTAGCTGTAGCTTAGCATAGATCATTGAATCTGATTAGACCGTTAGCATCTCGCTCAAAAATGACCAAAGAGTTTCTATATTTTTCCTATTTAAAACTTGACTCTTCTGTAGTTACATCGTGTACTAAGACCGACAGAAAATGAAAAGTTGCGATTTTCTAGGCCGATATGGCTAGGAACTATACTCTCATTCCGGTGTAATGATCAAGGAACTTTGCTGCCATACCATGGGTGCAGCAGGCACAATGATATTACGCAGTGCCTGAAAATAGGCTAACTTCCGTCAACATAACCAACGTGACAACCTGCTTGCACAGGGAGCGTGCTGGGGGACTATTTTCAGGCGAAATGAGCCTATTTTCAAAAATAGTGGAGTGTTCCTTTAAAACACCTTAGCAATACCCTTGGATCCACCAATCACATCCCTTATTTTAAGCAGTGGCCAATGTAATGGTTGCTCAGTTTTGCACCACTTTTTTTCCACCACCAGTTTTTTTTAAGAAAAATATTAAAATGTAGTGTTTGTAGAACGTCAGCGTTGATTGTTTTATTCAGCCTGAGAAATACATTGTCCCTACACAATATTTGCATTGTTATAGTGTCTTTGACACTCTTCCCTTTCACCAAGCCCATGTCTGATTACAAGCACTCAAGTGCTGAGTTATGAAAGAAGAACTCCTCACTGTGCTAGCGCAGTGATTTATTGTTGACTGTGTGGGTGTGAGAACTGAGCCATGTTTGAAGACTCTGACTGGCTGAATTCACCCTGAATCAATGCAGCGAATGCCCCCCTTTAATCTCATTCATCCGACCCCCTCTAAGCGAGGCTTTACATTCCAGAGACCCGTGCGTTTTGTATAGGACTGGGGGGGCTGAAGCCTGTAGTGAGATTTTGGACAGCTGTGTGATTTCCTGAGAGGGAGATATTATTGTGTGGATGTGAATTTTCATTTCGTGCTGTCAAAATGTACATCCTGTCCTTGAAATATTTCTTCAGTGTTTTAAACATTCGGTTGTGGGTGAAGTGCAGTTTTAACAACTTTCCCAGATAGCACCTAGTAAGACACAAAACAGCTTGGCTCTGATAAGGATTGAGAAATTTTCTAGCCTTGCCCAGGCCAAGTAAAACCAGTGTGTTGAGTTACAGTATGTTTATGTTCTTGCTCTTGCATTGTCATATTTCTTCATTCATTCTGAGAACATTTTCAGGTCACTTAAAATACTGCGTGGAAAGAGATGTTGTTTATTGAATTTTTTTGTTTGTTTGTTGCTTCCTCTCTCATCTAGTGTTCTGAGGCCCTGAGGTCTTGGGAGAAGAGGTTAAATTTGGGAGGGGCGAAAAAACTGAGAAGACACAGCCGTCACTGATCCCAAGGCCATCATCTTAGGAGTAGTTTGCCAGAAGCTTGTCCTCGGTGTAAGTTGAGCAAGGAGGACCTGTCAACAGGTGCCTAGTGATATGAGGGTTCGTGTGGCGAAACAGTTGCATATTGGCCTCATGAGCTCCATGGCCTCCGACAGGGCCTCCGCTGTGCTGGGAGTGAAGAGCCTTGGTAAGGAGACTTCGGCGAATAATGGAGATGCTCTCATATCCGTGAACTACGGCTTGCCTGAGAACGAATCCCCTCAGTTTTCATTCGAGACTTCAGAGGGGGACTCGCCATGCACAAAGTGCAGAATGCGGAAGTCTTTGGATACTAGGTCTAGAAGTTTGGATTGCTTAGACGAGACCTACAGGTCCAAAAGCTGCAGCTGTGGGGCTGCAAGGCACGGGGAGGAAGGGTTGTACGTGTGCCAGATGTGTGGCTTTTGCGATCCAGTGGAAAGCGAAGAAGGCTGCCCGGAAAATAGCTTTCCTCCTAGAAGCTGGGGAACGGTGCCCCAGCAGACGAAAGCAGAAGGGTTTTCTTCTGATGTTACTTGCCTTGCTGGAGAGCGGCCAACATTGAGTGGCTCGGATGATGAACTGTGCCAGATGGAACTCGTAATCGGCCAAAACACGGAGAGCCTGCCGTTCTGCGGGCTGGATTTGAGGCGAAACAGTGTGCCTGTATCCTCACCACAAGGGCCTCAATGCACCAATGGCTGCGGCACTGCCGTGAATAACAAAATGCGTGACAGAATGGACTTTGTATGTGCCGTGTGCCATAAAAATGGCTTCTCTAGTTTGGAAAGGCTCAACAGGAAAAGCAAACCCATGTGCTCTCAGGACAGATGCCTTAAGAGGTCCACGCCATTCAGGTTGTCTGTACCTGACTGTAGTGACAGCGAGGGCTCTGTGTCCGATAGCGAGTTTGTGCGTAACAAGAAAGAGCGCTCTACTGTCCTGGTCAGGAGGTACCTCAAGAACAACCAGAAGATCAAAAAGACAGTGTGCACCGGCACCAGAGCTATAGTGAGGACTCTACCCACCGGTTGCATCTCTGACAGAGTCTGGGTGTCTGTTTGTGGGAAAACATGCCACCTTGGTGATGAGGCGAGAGGATACAGCAGAGCTCTTCAGGCCATCCAGCTGCAGGTTTCCAGGGCCCTTCTCACATACCCAGGGGTCAGGTTTGCCGAGGTAAGGTCAATTTCTCTTCTCACGGTATGAATGCTTCCTTTATGAACTGCTGGTTATTCAGGTGTTACGTTAAAGCTCTATGAATGTGCTTCTCTCACAGTTGGTGCCACAGTTCCTGCACTGAATGTTTGTTTGTGTTGTATCTCATGTTTTGAAATAAGAATTAACCCTGCATTCTTAGCTTGATTCTTGAGTACATAATTAGTGGTTCTTGCTATTGCAATTGCTCATACTGTATGTATAGTTCTGCAATCTTTCTGCATTTTCAAAACCCCTAACTCTTAAACCATTTGTGCTACAGGCATGAATAATATCTCAAATCATGTGGCTTGTTGAGGAGAGTTATGATATTGCTATTACCAAGTGATGAGGCTTGTGTTTTTTCCTGGCTGACTTAACCAAATAAAAAAGTACCCTAGACTCAAGAAGGGACACTTGTAAAGTGTTTGGGTTGTTTGCTAGGTGCATATCTTATGCAGCCATCTAGCAAACAACATGAACACTCAATGCCCTAGACACTACCCAGAACACTCTAATTATGTGCTATTGAAGTGTTCTAGGTGGTTTTTGCTGCAATACCACATAAAGCGTTACAGCTGCCCTTCAAACAAATTCTTAAAAAAATGCATTTCAAATCCTGCCATTGTTTTATAAATGACCTACATCTATCATTTCTGATATGAGACATGTACTGAAAGAAACAAACTTAAATTTAAGAATGAAATTTAGTCAAATCTACTTAACTAAGTTTAATGTAAAATTAACAAAGAGAATAAGTAAATTTAACTTGGCCAGTGATAGTTTGAGTAATTTCATTTTACTAAATCTTTTTTGTACTAAACTTTACTCTATAACAGTGTAGCACTGAAAAAGCCATGCTATTAAAGCATTTTTTCACTTAGAAACATCTAAGTAAACTAGGTAGTAGACAGCTAGTTACACTTTGTAGATATGTCTACAGAATATAATGAACCCCAGATGTCGCAAAACAGCAAGTTACTAAACCTTCAAACTTTAATTTCTACAAGCTTGAATTGAGTAATGATATAGAATTTACTTTTTATTTTATTTTTTCCCCCTGAACTAAATTATTTAATGTAGAAATTACATTTGTTTTTCCATAGTATTTACTTCACTGCAGAATCATTTTTATTAGCGTGGGATAATCATGGAACAGAGGTTTTAAAGGCTACAACAGGATCTGCATGTTCATGGGTTTAAATGTAAAACCTACAATATTTTGAAATTAGTTTATTCTATATTCCATTACTACATTTTATTGAAACTTGCCATTTGTTAACTAAGCCTAACCTAGTTTCTGCTAATGGAAAACAGGAAATTACTGTTGATTTTTGACATGATGTGGAACATCCCAGACGTCTTTATTATCTGACAGCCTTTTGTTCATATTCCTTGGTTTCTATATTATATAACTTGTTTGCTGTTGTACATTTCAGACTTCTTTTCAAATAATTTTTTTTTCAGTGAATTCAACTAGACCATGAAATATTTAATATAATGTGTCATTTCTTTTTTACTCATTTAGTGGATGCTTTTATCCACAGTAAATTACAAATGAGAAATAGCACAACCAATTTATTGTACAGGGTAATTATATTAGTAGTGCTGCAATACCAAATTGCAAGAGTAAACCGCAGTGAAGCATTTTTTCATGGCAATTCTGTCATTTTTCGTGGTAATTGAAATGGTTCCAGTCTATTTAACAAATGGACACACCGGCCAGCACTTAATTTTGCCCGTAATTTGATGAATTACGGGCAAAATAGGAGGAAATCTTTCTTTCCAAGGAAATTCCTTATCCTGGAGCTCACAAAGCTCAAGTTGGTGCAAGATACAGAAACATTTCAGCTTGAGGTTTTTCTGACAGATGATTTAGTGGGCGACTGCTGTCTGTTTAAGCAGAACTTCAGATCTATTATGCAGCATATTATGCCTGTGCTTATGCAGATGTTTTACTAGTAGACTTGTAAAAAGCACTGCTTGTTGTGTTAAGGGCCGTTCCAGTGCTGTCTGGTTTCTCCTGCTGGCTGGGACAGTGGAACCCTCTGTTTCAGAGCGTGCAGTGGTTCTCGCTACACTAGCTTAAGACATTAAGACTTTATTGCCCCTTTGAGGCACTAAACCCCTGCCTCCTTCACCTTTTTATTCATTCCTTATAGGTGAAAAATGAGTTCACTGAGTCCAAGAATGTAGAAATACGTGTGCTGTAGTCATTGCTACTCCAGAAACCAAACTGTTTTGTGTTCCACTGATCTGTTATTGGTGTATTGTTTTGGACCCACAATATCAGTCTCAACGGCAATGTGGTTTTCTGAGCAATCTGAGAGCGGCCCAGCATTGTCTGATATTAGAAAAAAGGAAGGGTTAAAAAGAGGAAAAGATAGGATAGAGAAAGACAGCCTGATTCTCTTTTGGTGGTTTAATAATATTGCATCAGGATTCTCTAGAGAACTGAAGTCTAATATGGAAAGCGCATACACATCCCTGTGGACTTATGCTGGTGGTGACATGAAGCACGTCCTGTGGTTTCATTGCGCCATCATTTATGGATTGCTTTATTAGGCCACTCTTTTAATAACACTGTCTTTAGTGTTAGTGAGGTTATTTTATTGTCCAGATTTGAATATGAATTGGCATTTGAAGTACTTTGGAACTTTGTGTTTTGTATTCTGGTGTAAGTAATTTTTTACATGCCAGCTATATATAGATATATATAGGGATGCACCGATATGAAAATTTTGCCCGATACCGATAACCGAATATACACACTATAGTAATTTTGAGGGATGAAATGAGGGCTTGTTTGCAAAATTGCATATTTCTTTCAGTTTTTAAATATTTTTTTCTTGATGTTAGGTTTGTAATTGCTTTATCTGCAAATTTTGAATGACGGGAAATATACTTTTGTTGCGCAAGCCTGTCACCTCATAAAAGGGTTAAAAGAGCAGTATTTCACTGGAAAGCTTTATAGTGCTTCTTTATCAACAGTACACAAAATACATACAAACAAATTGTACCGCCGCAATGAACATGTAATTATGACCACTTACAAAGCCAGGACTCAAAGTTTTAAAAAACCTGCAACTCTTCATCTTCAGATGTGAGACTGCTGGGGTCAAGCGGCGAGCATGTAATTCAGAAAGTTTCCCATGGGATATTTGCCTGTCCGTCTGGACTTTAAAAGAAATGACAGACTGCTCCTTCTAATTAAGCTGAGCTTGTTCTTTTAATGTGTTCTTAAGCTTTTACTGGTGTTTGCGCACGGCCTCAAATGTTGACACTTGAGCAAAGAGCTTCCCACTCAGGAGTGTGTTTTTAAGGCAGGCCTTTACATGGCATCCAAGAGGCATCTGCTAATCGTCTCCGTTTGTGATTATAGCAGCAGTAGGGAGGAAGTGCAGAGTTGAAGCTCTGACCTCCCCTGGCCTTGACCCCTTCTCTCGATGGACACCACAGAGGATTCAGACAAGCTTATGAGATTGCAAGTAGGGGATCGTAACCACAGTGTTGTTTGTGGTTTATACGACAGCCATGAGATTATACATGGCTTGTGCTTGTTTTTCATATGAATGTTTAAATGGCCCCTACAAAAGAAAGAAAGTCGTACGGGTTTAGAATGACCAGTAAATAATGACAGATTTTCACTTTGCATGAACTATTCATTAAAAATGTTGTTTGGGTTGGTGTGAAACGAGAGAATATGTTGAAAATGGAATTTACTACAGCCCTCTGTGGTATTAAAGGAAATGAGCCACATCGGGGTTGCCTGCCCCGCCACAGGAAGATAAACACTGCCTTGTGATTGGCTGATTAGCACCTGATGGAATGAACAGCAGGGCCAGAGATCTCCAAACAGGTAATGACTAATGACTAAAAGTTCTGTCAATGACCTAAAAAAAAAAAGAAGAAGAAAAAACATGCAAGAAGGTAACAGTGTGGACTAGAGTTTCCTTCGATTTTAGTTGTTGAGGTAGTTGTTCTAAAGCTGTAGTTTCACAAATTAAAATACAGTGTACTGGTAAGATTATTAATACAATTTTTAACAATAATATAATAATAATTATTATAATTATGCAAGTATATATTATATATATATATATATATATATATATATATATATTATAATTCAAGTATAGCGCTTTTCACGATACAAATCGTTGCGAAGCAGCTTTACAGAAAATTTTAAGTTTCTAATTTGAATTATCATCTCTTGATAATCTTTAACCAGTTTGTTTGTCTACAAGAACACTAAAATCAGACTTCCCAGTGCTTATGTTACACAAGGCTGTGAAATTACAATTTATGAGAGCACACATTTACTTATTGCCTCGCTCTGCTTGCTTAGCTGTAAAGCTGCATTTGCATTACAGTGTCATAAAAGCAAATAAAACAGCATTCAGTCATGTTGGACGGATATGCCATTGGAAAAAAATAGCTTATTACTGGTAAAAGGACTCTATGAATCAAAACAATGGAGCTATCATCATGTAGTAAGTGTTGCTACTTTTTCCCCCCAGATATAAAAAAACCATGATATGGTTAACAAACAAGTGACAAAATGATACACCTCGACTCATTCCTCTCATTCTTGGCAAAACAAATCAGCCTCATAGTTATTTCTTTCATAGACAGAGACCACCTAGAGAGTCTCGCAATTCACAGCCCAAACCACATCATATCCTGACTCAGACCTTGGAGAGACTGGCAGGTAGTGATAAGACCTGTCTAACTCTCACTAGCACACTGATGTCAGTGAGCAGAGCGGCCATCTACACGCCAAACAAAACACAGGACGAGGCTAGGGGGAGGGGCACGGTGGCCATGATACCGCACACAAAGTGCCTTGTGTTTCTGAGAACTCAGGACACACAATGAGCCATTTAGAGGAGTTTCTTCTACACTTCATTCTCATAAAATCAAGGGCTGCAAAGCGGGTGTTCGTGAACACTCTTCTGAAACCTAAATTGACAAATTTGACA